TGCATTTATATAACGTATGTACTATACCCTTAGACATTTTATTTACTTTAAAATTTACATTTTATTTTACTTTAATTTATTTACTCCCAACGGAAATAAGTAGAGTCGTCGAGTATAATGAAAATAAAAGTTGTATAATAGAAAGTTATTCAATAAAACATTACTATCTATAGGCCTGACTTGTTGTGAAATGTAAATCTGTACCGTGATCTATTGTCTCCGATGTCTATGCGGCGGACTCGTAATGGGCTAGTTTCGATACCACTTGAGAGGGGTCGAAAAGCAATGGACTGTAGATTTAAAAGGCTATTTTGTGGACAGTCCAGGTAAAATTAACTTAATTGAGGGAAAATCCCAATATCACAATTCCAAGCAATGAAACCAAAATGAAAGTGTTTTGTTATTTAGTGCAAGATAATCACAGACAAACCCATTAATTCTAAGCAAGTGAAGAATTTTCACACATGCTTAGTGGCATGACAACATCCTCATTTGTCTTAATGCGCTTTTTCAGGATTTAGAGGCTGGTACTATCCATAAATGACTAATTTTTGTAAATTTTAGTTATTGTAGACAGTTGGAAGCTCGGAAATGATAAGCTGAACTAGGGTGAATGAAGTCATTTGTCCATAGAAATGAGTATGATAGCTTAAAGGGAACACGGATTCGGGTGTATACAACTTATGAATTGTATACTTTATACTTTTAACTAAAAGAAAACTGCTTACTTAAAGCCAAAACGAAAGCTATTAATGTCCATTAATATGTTAGACAATATATTTCACGTAACTGTCGAGAATTTGATCTAAACAACCCTCTACGTGGTATCTTCAAAGCAGTCTGTGATTTCCATGTTTCGACATGTCCCTTTCCTATAAAGCCTCTGTTTTAGCACTTTACTTTCTAAAGACTAGATTTTTTCATTATATTTTTGCAGAATCTACCTTATCTGTTAAGCGATATTTGCCCGATTATTTACATATTCTTAATTTTGCCTGAATTGATCCTCAACTGGTGAAGCATGGAGGTCTGCAATCAGACGACTAACAATTTCAACTTGTTTGTCCTTAAGCAATTTTTAATGCTAAAAGTTAAGGTTGTAGCAAATGAGAAACTTTACCCTTTTGAGCTAGTATTAGTTCGCTGAGTAAAAACTAATAAAAATGTGCATTCTACTTTATAGTTTTTCGTATACTCCATTAATTATGATAGCTCAAATTGAATACGGATTCGGGTGTATAAAACTTATGAATTCCATTCTTCCTACTTTTGTCTGAAGGCACATTGCTAAACTGAGCTCTGCTGCCATTTCCTTATCTGATAAATCCGACCTACTTGGAACCAAAACGAAATATATTTTATTCTTATCTCGAGGGACGAGTATGAATTGACTTGTTTTAATATTAATTACCCAAAACATATTGAATAATGCATTATATTTATGCTAATTCTTTTTACGAATTAATTCACTGCTGCCAAATCCAGTTATTTTTTAACATTAACTTGATTTGTAGATTTCAGCTTTTTCAACCTTGATCCTGAGAATGACTATCAGGTTATGCTTCGAACTCATTCACGTACTGGATCTTCCCCAATTTCACAGCAAAGTATCAAGACTAAGGCCTTTGTAAAGTCTACAGGTAAATAAATGATTTGCTATAATTTTTCTCGAAAAAATTTGCATTTTATAGCCTAAGAGGTATACACAACTCTTCGCTTTTCACAGTTATTCCGTCTGACCCTGAAGATCTTAAAATTTCGAAGCTCAGTCATAATTCTATTGAGGTTACGTACAAGCCCCCACAAGAGGGACTTGGTTATGAAGTTACATCGCAAGCCCAGGGATCCAGCACAAGTGTACCTCAGGTTGTGAAGTCAAAAGCTCAAAGCAAGCAGATTGTGGAGGAGCTGATATGCTGTACCACCTACACCATAACAGTGCACACGATGATGAGCAGTTCCAGATCTAAAGGAGCCAATGTTATCGGCACGACGTGTAAGTAATCTAACAAATTCGACTCTCAAGGCATGTATTATTTTCAATCATTCACAAAATCCTGCATCGCACGCACAAAGACAGATCACACTTGGCTCACGATACAAATACGTTGTGAGGCACTTGCAAGTGGGAACTTGGCAGTCGCCTCGGCTGCAAAAGTTATCATTTTTGCGTTAAAAGTGACCGTGATTGTGTAGGCATTACACCACTTGCGATTCGACTGCACCAAAATACAACTTATCTAAAAGCATGGCGAAAGGTCTCCAAGTGACCACAGCTTAGAACGGTTCTCCGAAGAGTAGAAATCTATGGCAACATACTTTGGTCCATCAAATGATTCTATTCGTTGCTGGGTGTTGTATGCATTACCTTCGAATTTTTTAGTGTTTTTCTTATACTTTTATATTATATTTAGTATAAACTGAAGATATCGCTGTATAAATAATAATAGTATCAGTCCATTGAATCATTGTAAAGGATTTAAACTGACGTCGTTCACGAGAACTCCTTCTCCGTTTTTGGTGAAAGCGAGCTGAGCTTTCGTCCATCATATGATGTACATCATTAGAATTGGGACTCATTCCGGTAAAAATCCCAAGTTAACACAAAGACAAGAATACTATCTGGATCTGTCTAACCTCTTATATAGTCTCATTATATAGAAGAGGTATGATAGAGCCGAATAGTATTCTTGTCTTAGTATTAACTTGAGCATTTTACAATAATGTGTATCAACTCTGATGATGTCCATCAAATGATTGACGAAATCTCAGCTCGCTTTCACCAGAAACGGAGAAGGAGTTCTCGTGAACTACGTCACTCTCAACGTCGTATGAAAAACCAAATAACCATATCACTTATGAAGAATAAGTGAGCTTAGATGGATCTTCTGATGTAATTTTTGCAACTAGTTTGTGTTGCTACGGTGAAGTTTCTG